CTTTTTAACTCTATAAAAAAGATTCATGCAACGTCATATTATTCTCGATCCAAACGCAGCTCAATCAACACTCAGTTGAAATTTTCCATCGTATACACGTCAGAATTTCAAAATAACTCTCTGTTTGAACAGATTAAGGTCGGTTGTGTTGATATGTTACTTCTATCTTTGTTATAACTAGTACAGTCTCTTTCATTTATTTTGTCTCTCCATATGAGTTTAACAGGCTTGTTTGGATTTTTTAACAAAATTACTCAATAACATACTTTTTCTAAAAACAAGAGTTTACACAATGGCCTGTTCTGTAGATGTATGATGATTGTTCATTAATTAATGAAACAGTTGTTGTACTATTCTGAGTTTTTTTGCAGTTCTGTGTTACCAATATCTTAAAACTACTCAAAAATGGTTTTCAGGATGTATTTGAGTCAATTTTTCTTCAAAAAGCACGATTACGTTTTTGTTATCTTTTAATAGGTTCTAAAGTACAGTTACGATCTTCGGTGTTTGTATACTGATATCGAAAAACCCATTAATTTGTATGCAGCTCAACATATAGTTTTTGTTTTATTTAACGCAGTATCTATTATCATGCTTTATTCTCGGAGAAAAGTCAACCATAACATATGCCAATGAGTGTTGCCGCTCCATATAGTATCATGATTCTAAAGAAGTGATCACTATATTCAATATTTTTTCGCTATTATACTTTATCTTGCCGTTTGTCTAACCATTCAAAAATTTCAGCAGTGTAGTAGAGATTTTGAACGAAAGAATGTTTTTCATTTTCATGGTTCTTATTAAAAGTAACGCATGTCATGTGATTAATTCCTTTAATATAAGCATATCATGAATAGCAAATATTGTGAGATGAATTGACTTTGTTTCGTCTCGTTTGTTCATTCCTTCAATAGATTTCAGTTTGCTGCAAGACGTACTTTAGAAACACGTTCTGTTAACCTTTGAAGATAGCATTATACTGAGATGTTTTTTCTTTGATTGGACAAAACCCTTGAACTGTAAATGTTGTCTTATCCTATGCTCGTCTGAACACAAATAGTTCTTATTTCTTGTTATCTTAAGGCCCATGAAACTCACTGTATCTTGTGTCTTGAACTAACACACAAATTTTGTTCCAAGGATTCGAGCAGCGAGACCAAGACAGCTCATTCAGATGGTCTTTGTTATGATGTATGATAAAATTGTAATTAAAGTACTTCAAATGCAACAACGTTTGTTTAATCCCATTTTACGTCTGGTATTTTGTAGCTAGACTGTGAACACATAGACAAATCTTTATGCTGATGGACTGATAATGGCCATATCCGTCTACAGAGAGTGCTTCTCATTAAGTTGCAGCTGCACATATTTTGTGCATCACAGCAATAATTTTTCTGACCTGCTCTTCGGAACGTCAATCTAATTGGAATGATTAGATATAATGCTAATAGTTGCTTAAACAAGGTCCTAGTAAAAAGGAACGCGAAATCAATAGAGATCGCTGACATTTTGCTTGATTGGTTGTCATCTATTATATTAAAAAAGTCGAAACTGGTCTCCAATCTGTTTATGACTAGTTTTTTTAAAAGACATAATTAATTAGGCCTATAGTCCATCGATTCTTGTTTAAGTGGGTTTTAGTGGATTACTAGATTTTTGGGTTTTATGTACGAAAAACAATCTTAGGAAAAAACTAAACACAGCTGTGAACATACACAAGCTACTTCAATCAATATAGTATTATATAGCAGCTGATTTAAAACCTCTCCAGTGTTCTTTTCAATACCATGTGTTCGTTCTACTTGTCTAGAACGAAGCACAAAAACTATTTCATATAACTTTCATTACTTAATTCAAGAAAATTTGTCCATTAAACATATGAAATTAGTAATGAAGTAACGTAGGAGTGATGGTCATTCAATCATAATTATATTAACTTTTAACCTCATGTTTAATAACAGCTCGATGAATATTTATCACCAATAATGGCGCTACATTATGTTATTATTTCCATAATTGAATGATTTGAATTGATATATTTCAGTTATGCTATCATAAAGTTTGGCAATTTCGGCCAATGTTTCTGTGAATATCTGAACTTGAGGTTAGCAGTATAAGTTCGAAAGTAATTTGAGATTCTTAACAGAAAATAACTGTAGTTGATATTTAGTTGAACATTTTACTTGATTTGAATAAAACGTCTAGACATATTTACCCAGTTAGTAGCTTTGAACTAATTGATAATGTCGTGATTATGACAAAGTACTGGTGCCGCTACTTGTTATGCTTGTGGACACAACTGTTTACTTACTATCGTGTGACAAACTAAAGACTGATGTTGATAGGCTCAAGAACGAATGGTAAGACTTCAGACAGAGTTTATTATGTAGCAACCACTAATCCCCGAATGATCTAAACAACTTCAATTGTTCAGTGTATGTATCAAGTTTTCAGTGTCAATATGTTAGCTAACTGGGTCATAAAGACTTAAAACTGCAAGAATTTGTTTAGTTTTTGCTAAAGGCATTCGAACAAGTGTGATGATTACGCCTACTTCCCTAGTTATTCCAGTAAGACTGCTTCAGTCAGTGCGTCTGTTCACTGAACTTTATCTTCAAATTTTGTGCAAAATTTGAGTGGTTAAATGAACTGTTTTTGGTGATGTTTTTATGTCATAGGGTCTCAAAAAATAATTACAACTTGTAATAAAGTAACGGTTTTCCGTTAAGAGCTTTTGACGTTTATTATCACGAGTTTTTGGAAACAGAAATTTATTTTTAACGGTTGTGGGTATGATAGACATTTTTAAAATCATTTTAACAACCACACAGACAAACACTATTCTTGATTTCCCATTATTTGGTTTATGTTTTCTCAACTTGATCAGACACATTACTAGGTTTTAAATCTACATATATATGCTCCTCATACCTACTAAAATTATAAAACTTTCAGCTCTACCGTTACCATTATTCATTGACTCATTCACATACATTTAAATTTAAATTCAAATCTTATTTTATTCAATTATTGGTTTTGATCTTTTCGGTGTTTTTTCAGATAAGTATGCTTGAATCGCATTTTGTCTGCTTGGCATTTAAATTGTCATAATCAAATAATGCTTGACAGATTTATGTATGAAATTAAATGTGAATCGTCTTGTTGCTGTGAATTTTTAATTCAAAAGGCACTTGAAAAGAGAATGATTAATCTCACTTGTTTTGAACTGCAGCATAGTACTTTTTATAAATATAGTGAGACTGTATTATTGTGTCATGGACAAATAATGGTATTGTATTTATGGTGTTTTAGATGTGAATATTTTCATGATGCACTTGCGAGATCCTTGACCCACAAATACATCTTTACAAACACTTCTGTCATTATGTAGTGCATAATCTTCTTAAAGTAGATAAAAGGCTCTGATTCAGTGAGAAAAAAGTACCAAACATTCATGTGAAATTCGGGATCATAGATACTTATACAGTAACGGTGTTCACTAAAGAAAGTTTATTTGATTATTTCATTGCTCAACTGGAGTAATTGAACATTTGGTTTTATTGTACATCAATTATAATATCCATGAATTAGAAAGAGATTTGTTTATGAGATAAAGAAACGTTTTGTCCGGTTTTAATTTATCATTGAGTTTTGATTTTATGAAACACTGTTGTTTTATGTTAAATATTGTAATAATTTTTTATGCACTTTTTATAGACAAAAATCGTTCTGCCTGCGCTTATGTACTGGGAAGAAACATTAGGTGTGAAGAAAATTGCTTCAGACAATATCATACTTGAGAGGTTAGAGAGATATTCTTATTTTTGATAGCTTTTCATTCAGATTGTTGATGTTACGATAGTCGTAAATTAGTTATAATATAAACTCCTCGGATCATTTAGTAAGCGATAATAAAATTTTGCTTGAAAGGGTTTAGGCTGAAATTTTGTAGCGAACTACATATTTTGACCGCTTGAAATTAACCTGACTAGCACATATAAAATGTGAAGTATACCCACTTAATACTTTTTAAAAGTGTGCAATGAAATATTTAAAGCCATTTTCGTTGCTTTTACTGTGTTTGTCATGAAAATTCAGGTAATAATGAGCTTAAAACATAAATGTAACAACGCTTCTGATCTTTTCTTACTTGTCCTTGGAATTATAATTTTCATTGAATAAATTAACATTCTACAGATCTGAGTGCATCATCTAAATGTTATGACCAATTATATGTTGGAAGAGAGCTAGTGACAGTCAAACAAGAACATAGTATCTGTCTGTGAACTTGCTGACAGATGGAATGGTAGGTAAAGACTATCTTTTTAAGGTTGATGTGATTTTCGTAAAAAATAGTTACAGATTGTGAGACATGTTCGTATGAACTTTTATCTAAATTTGAACGATTGGTTTCACAGTAGTTGGGAGCGTTCAGTATCAAGATAATCGCTGAACAACGTATTTATATTCGATATTTTTGATTATATTTCCTTGAAAAGAGCTTGAACCAGTTTAATGAGCGGAACGTCTAATTGTTAAAGTTCATTCGTTGAAATGTTTTACTAACATAATTTTTCTTCTTTGTGATATGGCTCAGAATTGTTCAGAATAGCGCAGGTGGATTCATTGTTTATCTTTCCTTGGATTCTAAGCTTCAAAATTGTTTTCCTCCACAGACCTCTACATTCCCACTTGTTTCATATTTTTTATGCCTAATCTTTTTCACTACCACTTATTACACAATACCAAAATCTACCAAGTTTTACACTTCCCTGATCAACTGACTTGTCAGCCCTATGAAGCGGAAAAATTTGCCTTAAGAATTCAACTGAATACTGTTCACTACTAACGAAAAGCGAAATTAGCGATTTCAACTAAAGTACTGGACTAGTCGTAAATTTTTTTATCAGATTTATGTTTTTATAAGAATGCTAAAATTTACTTTGTTTTACAAGACAATGTTTGGATGGGCAAACGTCATATGTAAAATGGCCAAATGGTACAATTGGTATATATTGCAATAAAGGTTGTGAAAATATCACTAGATGTTTCACAGAACCCATACCTGATAACTATCTGAATGTGAGTTACGTGTAAATTAATCTAAATTTATATCTATTTAATGTTTGGTCGTCTAGTCATTAAAAACCGTGAACTGTATGTTTACAAATTATGTTAGGATCTATCCTAAAGCCGATTTTGTCCCTTTCTTATGGGATATATTTAATGTAACTTTGTTCTAATGATATGGGCTGTGAGTAAAACATAAGTGAATGATATATTAATTAGATAAGAATATTGATTGTCCATCCAGTCGGAACACAATCTTACTTTTGTTTGTTAGCTAATCTCCTATCTTAGCAACTTCATGGTGAATTACAAAGCGTCTATTCAAACCAAGTGCTTGGGAATTCGCAACTTGATGGTTGGGTTAGCACCGTCTAAAATAAAGTGCAGGATTTTTCAGTATATTTTTCCAGTCATTGCAATAAGCCTGGCGATTGAAAAGCTCCCTGAAATCTCAGGGAGCCAAGTGCAACACAATATTATCAAGTAAAATGTGATAGACTTTCCATTTGGAAGTTTAATTCTTATCTATTTAATTCTAGCTAAGGTAAGTAGACAGCGTCATACACTAGCGAAGTGTTGAGTAAACTTCAAGAGTTTGTTAACCGTAGTCTAATAGGTTTCTTGGCATAAAAAATAGTGTACAGCATTGCATAGTTTCTTATATATGCTCTGTTTGCCATTAGAAGAAATAATAATAATGCCAGATTACTAAAACAGTTTATGCGTATAAGAATCTAATTACTAACTGGCTTAACTTGATTGCTGATGCAGATGCAGAGCCATATTTGAGGTTATTTTAAAAAGTCACTCTGGTTTAACCCGCAGTAATAAGCAAAAAGTGATCATTTTTTCAGTCCAGGATCCAAGTGAGGTTGTAGTCATTAGAAAAGTGTTATGCTACGAAATTCATATGGACGATGATAAGTAATAGATAATTATTCCAGTAATTATGTGTTTTTCTCATATTATTATTTAGTTAATTGCTTAATAAATTTAATTTATTTTTCTAAAGGGATGTAAAGAGTTTGTTGCGAATAAGCCCAGTATGCAAGGTTCAAGAGGATCAGGGATACCACCAAACGGTTATTTGGTTTTTGTGGATGCTTCAGCAACTGAACCATGTCAAAGTGAAGACCTGTTGGCTTATGCACTGGCATGTCAGCTTGAGTTTGGTACTGACAGGTAGGGCGCTAAGTTTTTAATGTTATCTAGTTTTCCAATAACTGTTTTTAAATCAATAATGTCATCAGAAACGATTATGTAAAAGACAAGTTAACTAACATAATTGATAAGATAAGGTCATTAAGCTGAGTACATAATTAATTTCCCAAAGTATTGTTTATGATATTTAACTTTAGTGTAACTTAGATTGATTTTCTAAACCCTAAGTACCAGTATTTTTATATTACATTGGATGATAGTTTGGTTCTAAGAATACTTCTATTCAACCATCATTTTAGTCATATTGGAGAAAAGGTTACTAGCTCATTTATAGGAAGTAACATTCCGTAATTTGTATGAACCTAGCGAACTGTACCTTGATATTCTGATTTACATTACATCTATGTCAATCAACATGTAATTGATTTACATTACCGATATAACGGATGGTTTAAAATATTTTCTTCGCTCTTAACTATATTACAATAGTACGTTAATATGATAATAGGACTAGTCACGCTGTATCAGGTGCAGGATTCACGATCCAGAATAGAGAACTAAATTAACCCTAGATAATAGTTTACCCAATGCAATTACAAGCAGTCACACTCATTTAGTATGGGGTAGTAATAGATGAGAGGAAAGGAAATCACTGAGGAGATTTTAAGAGATATTTTCACAGTTGTAATCACAAATTCATCTAACCTAGACCACCAGTGAAAACCTGTGGGCACTAAGTTGATTGGAGTTAAACATTAACACCGTTAGATGCCAGCTTGCGTTCGCGTGCGAAACCATAGGTTCAAGATTCGAAACCCTTATGCAGGATCGTGTATATGCAATGCTGAGGATTTGTATAATGGGACGAAACGGCTATTCAAAGTCTCCAGATTCTCAGTGGATATAAAGAAGACCATATAATCGATAGTTTGTGGGTTTGTCGATGATCAGTGACCAATAATATTTCATTTTGACAACTACACTTCAGTCACATCTAAATCAGTTATATTTTTGATTGTCTAACAAAAAGCCTTTTAACTCAAAAGAAATGGTGGTTATTTTAAAATCTACATGGCAAAGTCCGTTTATAAGTAATTTTCCATGTCAGTAAAATATTCATTTCCCACTAAGTATACTTTCTAGTATATTTTAAGAAAACTTCCGCTATTTGATTTATTGTGTTCAAATCAGTAAATAGGTGCATTGTTTGTTTGATTAATTTCTCGAACTAAACATTCATAGTTAACGATACTTTGTTTTTTCGATCCAGGCCAGTGGCAGGTTACGTCAACATGTGTCCAACTCAACTGTCAATAAAGCCAGAAGACGTTCGTTCAAGTATTTCTACTTTCATTCATGAAATGGCACACGCTTTGGTTAGTTATTTATTTATTGAGAACAGTATTATAAGTTACTTAAAATGTAAAGGATGATGTACAGGTGCATTTGTTGTAATAAATACGTGTATTAGAGTCATGGTTTACGTTGTACTAGCGGACTGGAAAAAAGTGGAAGACTTTGACGAAAAGTTTATTTGGTCTCCGACTACTCTCCAGTTGTCTATCATTGACAAGTTCTTCGGATTAGAAAACAAACTTGAGCTGCAGCTCATGGTAAAGTTAATAAATGAATTATGGCTGTTTATCACAAGTGACTTGCATATGTAAAAAAACACTAAGACTGATAAGCAACAGCCTAAATAAATAGAGCTAGTTTACAAATCTTAGTTGTACTTACTGGGTATGTTTCACACTTTGGACAATATTTTCATGTTTTTCTAAAATTATTAGTTTCTATTTATTTCTTCTGCTTCCTAAACAGACATTCTCAGGTAGGAAGGGAAACAAAGTTTACTGTTAGTATATTGCTGATGTTTCTCTAGACAAATGTGCGTTAAAGTTTTGTTTATAATAATGTTTTTTATATATCTATTTGTGGATCATTTATTGATAATGTAAACACGCAAAATTAGTCAAATTATCCATTTCTAAAAGTGCAATAATTTACCTTGATTTTTAAGTTGACATAATATCAAATGTCACTTTGCTAAACATTATCCACGCTTAAAACTTTTTTGCAGGGATTTTCAAGTACATCATATGCTTTTCTACGTGAAGAAGATGGCACACCACGTACACCTAGAGACCCTCAAACTAACTTACCTGCGCTTGGTCAAGATTCAGACTATATTTATCTAGCCAGGTAATTGTGAAGCGTATTTTATTGTTAGAAATTTATCTGAAAATTACTATGCAGACACTAAGCTTCTGTGTTATAAAAGAAGACTTATATTCACTGAAGCTATTAGACGTCTTATTATCCAGTGAAGACGGTTTTAGTCAATTAACCGACTTCAAAATGTTTACCTTGGAGAAATCAACTGTTTTGAACTTTTTTAGTAATACTAAACACCCGAAATTACTACTCACTGTCTGTTTCTTTCTTTCTAGTAAATCGACTGTTAAAAAGGTTCAGCGAATCTGGGTTTCTGCAGTCTCCACAACCATACGAACTATAGATGCTTTTGTGCTTCCAAGTGTATTGGTAAGTTAATTTTACATTATATGTAACGTAACTCAAGAGCCTCTACACGTTGTTGTTTACTGAATGAAACTTCCGTATGCTCTGCTAATGATTCACTACTCCGGCTTCAATACTGCAAACGAAACTACCACACTTCTCTTTTTTTTTGTTTATCTAGTTGAAAATGCTTTTCATAAGTTATATCATTATTAGGAATATGTTATTACACTAAGATGATTTTGCATCTATGATTCCCAAGTAAACGCTTCAGTAAGCACTTCTGTACAGAATAATGTAAAATATTTTTTCAATTGAGACTCAAGAGATGAAGCAATTCAGTGATTTAAGGTACAATCGGATGTGTCTCAAAATAGAAGACAGTGAAGATTTTACTGTAGTTCCCTTTATCGTTCATCACCAAAGCGACGGTAACTAGCGTGACTGCAAGAAATTTGTCGCTAATACATTTTTTATCTGTCATCCCACATATTATTCTTGTTAGCTCATCTACTTTATTTCTACTGTTTGTAATTTCTCCCCTCCCTTATTTTTTAAAAATCTAACTTCATTCGTGCTTAATGAACAAAATAAAAAAGCAGTTTAAAAGTAGTTTCTTTTTGCAGGGTTATCTAAGAAACATTTTCATAAACTGAAATCCTCAAAATGTAGATGCTAAGTGATAATGAAGAATAAAAGAGATTAAATTTAAATCAACCATTCTTGGTGACGAATGGTACTTATCGCAATAAATAATATATTACTTATTATTCCACTTCATTCTTTATAGATCTTTAACCTGTGAAAAATGTTTTCATTGTTATTGCTTCTAAGATATATGTTTGCATTTGACTTTTAGGCAGAGGCTAGAGCTCACTATAACTGTCCTACAATAGATGGAATGGATTTAGAAAATGATGGAGGATCTGGAACAGCTTTTGTTCACTTTGAAAAAAGAATCACTGAAGTAAATTACTCATGATTTTAATAACTGCCTCACATGATAGTATAATAAATCGCTTCAAATTTTATTTACATACGTAACGATTTAAAATGTTGACATAGTTCAGACTGTGTCAGATTACTATTTTTGGCTTTCGTATGTCATTTTCAACAATGATCGTAAGATTTTATTATATAATCACATTATTAAGGGTGTTTTTTATGTTTCAGGATGAACTCATGTCAGGAAGTTATTCAAAAGATTCTTACGTGTCTTCTTTAACGTTGGCCTACTTCAAAGATACTGGGTAATAATATATTTATTAAACATAGATCCTGATGAAGTTGGAGAAATAAATCACGTCATAGTATCAGTTAGAAAGATTTGTAGTTCAGATGGAAGATAATACATATTTCGAACTGGTCAGGCTACTTTTAAACATTTCATCATCATCATTACAAGCTTTGGAACATTTTTCAAAAGGATGTTATCTAGAAAAAGTAAACCTCCAAGTTAAGACAACGCTCTTTGTAGAACACATTAATGCTAGTCGAATAAGATATTAATTTTGATTTGCTAGACTTTCATTTTGAGTTACTTTTCACATGTAAACATGTATTACTAATAACTCTTGTAACTGCATTTATCCATTCACCATTGTTTAACATCGGATACTATGTTGCCCTTCAATACGAACAGGGCTGCAAACAGCTGATAAGAACACTCAAAGTAAAATGAGTGTATAATATTTTGCTTTAGTCTATTTTTTATCAAAGTTCGTGAAGATAACTAATTGAATGAAGTTTAAAACCACATAACTGAGTTATTTCTGTGAAATTTCATTTTCTGTAGGTGATTTTGAACACGAATCGACCTTACTTCGGATATTACTGTAAACCAAGGAGCACCGGATAGCTGGTTAGTTCTAGAATAAAACTTCTCGGACTTGTAAATCAGCTACCCCAACTGTGATCTGGACGCAGACTTTAAGGATTTTTACCAGGCGATTAACTAATGAACCCACTGAAATAATGTCGAATTTGTCGCAAAACCAAAAATAGTGATTCTAAAAACTTATTATCTCCACTGTTCCATCTTTACTATGCCTTTTAAAACTTTATTACTTATTATTCTTGTGTTATTAACTTTCATTGCAAACTACTGTAACATTTACCTTAAATAAAATTCAGGTGGTATAATGTAAATATGTCTATGGCCCAAAATTGGAGATTCGGTAAAAACTGGGGATGTGAATTCGTTCAACTGAGTTGCTACGAATACATGAAAAGACAAGCAGCAAAGTATGTTATTACTTATATACCAATATTCTAGATTCTATTTAATGACATCGGATATTTTATTTTTTTAGTATGAATGTTCATGGTAGCCTTTTTCGTTAATAAAAGTATACTTTTCAACATTTTGACGTATTAGTAATCTAAGAATAATAAGATCAAAGTATTTAACTTGGTAATGTTAAACAAAATGATGAGATGCTGTTAGAAATAATCAACTTAATAGTCAATTATTTTTACGTAGAAACATTCATAGATCGTAAATTGTTTTACACATATTATGCATTTATTAATTAATTAATGAGACAGAATAAGTACTTCGATAGTCTTAAGTAATGAAATTTTGTATTATGAATAATAAAGTGTACTAACTCTTTTCTTCAGGCCTATAAAGAACCAAGTTGTGTAATAATAGTACTATGATCTCAAAATATCTGCAGAATTTGAAACAAACATGCTTCATTCGAGAACTGAGCACAGAATTATTTTGTGGTTCTGTGAAATGAAACTAGGTAAACAGTTAAACAGTTTTATTAAGTTTCGTTTTAAATTTTATTTAAGCAAGAAATATATTGAATTTTTTTACAGGAATAATCCTATCACGCCTTATTGCAATAAGCTTTCAAGAACTGATATCAAATGCTTAGTTTACGACGATGCCTTCGGCTCTTGTGACCTTCAGCGCCAAAAAGAAAGAGTACCTGAGGAAAATCAATATTTTACCAGCATAGATGGTGTTTCTGCTTCTGAATTACCATATTATGCCGGTGGATCTTCATTAAGTGACCGCTGTCCGCTATACAGGGTTTGTTGTGTTTTCTCTAATTTTCATTATAAAGTTATATGACTGTTATATTGCTAATAATTTCGTAATATGCGACAATTAGTTTCTCTAATAAATTTGAATAATTTAGTATGGAGACGCAGTTTATGTGTGATCGGATTGTTTGGAATTTATTACGCTAATACGTCACATAGTTCTGAGAATCTTTTTATTGCGCTATCCAAATTTCAAAATAATCTATTCAGGAATCAATCTGCTGTTTGAAAACTAGTCTGTGGGCGAAACCTCAATACAAACAGATTGCGTTAAACAATACTTGTATTACGAACGCTTGTGACATCCTACAACTGTTTGTATTTTTTTCAATTCTTTGAAGTTTTTCATTCATCGCAGTATTTACTGATTGTGTATAATACCATATTCAAAGTTGAACAAGTGTTTCCATTAAAGGAGTGTATGAAATCATCCAATATGTTGGGTGCATACGGGGTTAATAAATTCTTCAACAGTGTTATCAATGTGCATCATATATTACCATGCGTTTTTTAAATGCAACTAACATTCACTTACTTAGTTACCAACGTTATCAGTGACATTTTGTTTATGATCTGAGTGCCACTACGTAGTTTTTTCATTGTGCTCTGATTAAGAATCAGTTTGCTTGTCGTAATAAGTAATATTCATTTTAAATTTACATCTTAGCTGACATCCGAATGTCGACTCATAATTATTCAGTCATAAATGAACGTTGTTTAAAAAAATAACCGATGTAAGTGCAAACATTTACAAATCGTAAAATCTATTTTCTATTTAAACTTTAGTCATTGTTGGATATTGAAGTGTTCACTAAGACTGCAGTCAGCTTATAAATTTGCTGGTTCTGACTGAAGACCATCAATCATTATCTAAATTTCAAAAATACGGAGGAGTCAGTAAATTAAACTATGATAGGAACTTCTTTGGACTTCACTCTTATGTGCTGAAGTTTGAGAGGATTCTTGTGAAACTATTTGTCAGTACACTCGTGTGTACTGAATTATAGACGTTATAATATTGATGTGACTAATGCCTAACAGTAAAGTTTTTACTTATCTGAAATGATCTACATTAGCTTTTTATTTTAATGAAAAAATATCCAGCTTAACTAAAATTTCTACATCTACTGCTTCCCTATCATATTAACTATGCTCGTGTTTTCCTAGGCCATTTTGATTTTTAGATTTGACTGCATAAATTAGATGTTATTTATTTCTTGTTAGGTTAATGTGATTTGAATAGCTTGTATTAAATAGCCATATTTTAATCACGATTATTAACGAAAATCATTTAATTATTCAGAAGGTACTCAAAAGAAACTAGTTAAAATTAATCTTGTTAATTCTCATCACTGAAGTAAAATAAGTACACTTATTGTAAACAAAGATTTTTTTATACCTTTCATTTTTATTTCTCATACCTTTGCTTTAAAAAACCACTTTAATTATATCTTTAAAAGAAAACAATGGTTTGACCATATTTTATTTACAAATTAAAATAGTACTTGTGAATCTAATAGTTGTTTGAAATTATATTTATTTAGCCATTTGAACCAGTAACTGGATATAAATATACATCATATTGTCGTCATATTGAAAATCAAGATACCATTGGTTTGTGATTTCTATATTCACTATATGTACAAACTATTGGTTACATCAATATACTAAAATAGTTGGCGCATTTTAAATCTTAGATTTTTCCGCACTGATGCATATTTCTAAAATTTAACATGCAAATAAAAAACAACTGTGTATTTATATAACTAGTCATTAACATCTGTCACTTTTCAACTACATTGCACAATAACGCTTTATATAGTTTCGTTTAATTTTTATTCATGGTTGAATGTTGGTGATGCTCATGTACATTTTGATTCCTCTATTAACGGATAGTACAGTTGGATTTAGTTGTGGAACAACAAAATTGCCACCATTATTTTGAAACTAACAAACCTAATGGCAACACTAATTTTATCAGGCACTTTTAAAGTTATTTATATTCAGTTTCTATCAGCAGAACATTCATATGTCTTTCTAAAAAAATATTGTTATTTATTGGATGGGATGCACGATTATAAAGACAAAAGATTTTTATGTTGAACTGTTTTTGATTTTGATTGTTTCATGGAATTAAAGGATCTAAGGGTATATTTTATGTATTGAATCATGTATTACATTCAGTTAAGTATTCGTTTATTGTGGGATATACTGATGGGCTGTTATGATGGAATTAAAAACTTTTATCTGTTAAGATGAATAGGTATGACTTACGTGGGATTTTACCTTACTAAGTAATGTTCGATACCACTGCTACCATTTATGTCTTCAGTCAGTCGCATCTATATTTTGTTAAATCACCTACGTCTTGTTAAAACGAATGTATTAATCAAGTTATCTTTTATGTTATACGATATTTGTTTCTGTTTATTTTTCAGTAAATACACTAAGTAAGCGCAATGAACTAAATGAAATGATGATAGGGTGAACAATTTTTCCCCTTGTTCTTTTGAATAACAACAGTTCTTCAATGTATAATTAGACCATATACATTTTAACACTGTCTGTTTTAAATGTTTTGAATTTGTTTTCAACATAGAACGAAGCTGAATCGTTAATTAATGAATACGGAAACACGATTTACGTCTCTCAGTTAACGATCAGAACACAAACTGTTTGAAAATCATTATAATAGACAATCTCAACTTATATTTTTCTGATGATAAAGTCAATAATAATATTATTGTTTTCAATGAGATTCTCGAAGCTCCTTGCGCCTAAACATTTGTTTCTACATGCACTTAAAAGACATTTGATATTGAATTGCATACCATAAGGAAGGCGACAATAGCTATTAGGATGTCTACTCTCTGAACTTAAAAATAAGCCAATTGAGTGTAAAGGTGTTTTGAGTTTCTGCAAAAAGAAACATTTTCGAAATATTTCTCGAGAACAATTCAAGAAAAAGTATCATAATGTTATTTTTTCTAATAAATCAAAATCTCTGAACTAATAGATAAAATTTTACTGCTTTTCAGTAGTTTTACGTAAACTCAACAATTTATTTTCTACGTGAAAGTGTCTTTAGGAAATTTGATTCATACACCAGTCAAATGCAAACATATTGCTAAATGAACAGATAAACTGGGTTATTATCTTAGATTAATGTTGACGAGTAACATTTAAAGTATTTATAGTCTTAAGATTTTATACAATTCGACTTGATAGCAGTTAGGTTAATATGGAACAAGACAATGTTGGCTCAACTTTAATTCATCACATGAGTTAGTCTAAGATGAAAATTACGTATTTTATTTTTTTATAAACTTATAGTTTTTTGTTTATCAGTGCTGAGCTAAATTTAACACTTAAAAATCTCTTTGTTTCAGATTCGCAAAACAATTATGCTTTACAGTATTTTGGTCAAGATTCAGTATGTATTAATCATGATACATACTCACCATGGATCAGTATTGTAGGAGGATTTTACAGAGATATATCTTTTCCCTACGCAAGTTGTCATAAAGTAAGAAAGCTATATCCATGTACAAATATTTTGACTTAGTTAATGAACTGTATTAATAAACGAAATAAATGTGACTGTAGATTACAATTTTTACAGTGAAAAAGTGAAATGTCGAAAATTTTTAAATCATGGATTATCATGCTGATTATTCTAGATCTATGAAAACTTAGCGGTAGTAATAAAATCTATCAAATTGTCTTAATAATATTTATCCATAAGCCTTTGCAAATGTATGAAAAATGAGTTATTTGTTTCATCACTTGGTCTCTGCATAACGAAATATTAAAATGAAAGACATTTTCGTTATCTTTTCAAGGGTTAATTGCATAATATACATTTTGTTTACTCCAAACGAATAGTTTGTGGTAAATTACAAGTTTTAGAACTCCTCAAACATTTAAAACGTATTGGTTTAAGTGAGTCTGTACACTGAGTAAAGTAAACGTACTTCCCATAGTTAGATCACGAAAATAGTAATAAAGACTGTTGTATTTTCTAGTACAATTGTTCAAGTGTTGGTATTCAATTACTTATTGGACAACAAGTTACAAGCTGTTCTGATGGAGTATCTATTCCAATAAATGCTTACGGTAATAACATTAATGTCAGAGGATTAGTACTATGTCCAACTTGTAATGCAGCTTGCAATGTAAGTAACTTCATTTGTTGTTTAAATCTATATCTTATTTATTAATTCAGCATCACAATATTGTTATATTAACTGCTTTACCTGCTAATTATTTATTAAATTAAAATATAGTTTATTAAGGAGGAAGAATGTATTCGTAAGATCTCAGCGAATGAGTTTCGAAGTAAATCCAACGTTTCGCCTAACAATCTGGTCCAAGCTTTTTCAAGGAAACAAGCGAAAGGTTAGATTTACTTCAAATTCATTCGCTGAGATTTTGCAAATGCATTCTTTCCCTTTAATGTCTCACATTACTGTGAAACTATTCGATCAAATTTAGACGAAAGTTCTTATTTATTATTGTTTATTAAGTATGATATTTATTTTTCATTTATTCATATTCTATTTGTGGTTGAATTTGGTTAGGTTTTGAATAAAAATGTCATAAATGTTTATTTCTAAAGCTCTATCTACTTTTAGTTCACCTTTTTCTAATCGACATAAATAAAAAAAATATCCATCGCAAATATTATTTTATGAAATATTATTATTTTGTTAAATATCGGTTAACTTTTAGAGAAACTTATCGCTGCTCATAGGTCTTATTGATTAATTATTCTATCATATTTTACAAATACACGAACTTGTAATTGAAGATATTTTATTTCATTTAGATTATTTCTGTAGTTGTGAAATAAATTCACAATACAGAGTTCTTATTAAATTCATGACTACAATCTTGGTAAATGCTACAAACAGAAATGATTATTAGTATCTAAGGTAAACAGAAAGAAAAAACGGCGAGACTCTAATTTAAGGACGAGCCAATCAGAAGCGTTTGAGCAATTTCAAGGTCACGGAGCCAAGTTTAACACCTAATGCTCACATACGATCGATTTACGGCGTATTTTAGAGAAGAGGTTATTATTGAGAAGCTACAAGGGATGGGACTACTAAAACGTTCTTGTACGTGCGACTGTGGTTATCAAATAACCGCAGTAAAGTGTGCAGACCACCGTGGTGAGATTATATTTCGTTGTTCTTGCTGTTGGAGTAAAACGTCTGCTCGAACGGGGACTTTCTTCGCTCGATCGCGACTGAAAATGAGGCAGATTATGATAATAGTTGCAAATTGGGTAATGAAGACACCAGTGACACTGGCTGCGGCGTTTGCAGTTGTTACTGAAACTTCAGCAGTCCAGTGGTATGAGTACTGCCGTGACATATGTGCAACTAAAATGACAAGTATACACCAATCATTCGGAGGAGTAGGATGTATCGTGCAGATAGATGAAACGGTAGTGAGAAAACGAAAATACAACAGGGGACGTAGTATGAAGGAGGATTGTGTAAGTAGCATTTCCGTAAATATACTCGACAGGTACTTGGAATTTATGAATTTTTATACCGTATGCAATATGCTTTCAAAACATCTGAACATTTAGCAAACCTTGACAAACCATTGGTTTCTTCTAATATATTTTTACTTTATACTAGCTGTCTTCTGATTGGCTAATATTCTCAAGGTCACTTAAAATTCGTTCAATGGCCGTCCCTAAATTAGAGTCTCGCCGAAAAAACATTGATGTATAGATTCTAACACTGATTTTGCATGTCTTTAATCTCTTTTGTATTTTTTTTTCTCTGGACTTAGGTTTGTTCCTATACATCTGTTGTAAGCAATCGAACCAATTCAGCATTTCATTTTACCAGTAATGACAATATATTACTTATTCATTGGATTATGTTGTATAACGTTTTTAATCTACATATTTTTCTCATTAAGTAGCCTGGTGAAGACTATAAAGTAACTAATGGATGGGTTCTGTAGTTCTGTAGTTTATTCAATTATTTGCATATATTAAATATACTCTTCATATAAATATATTTTTCTTTCATTCATTGTTCAACTGGAGGGTATCTTTCTCCGACAACAAATATCAGTAATCACAATTAATGATTACAACTAGCACACGTCACCTGCCAAATTTTAACTGCCTGTCCAAAGTAACTGTCATTATTATCGGGTTTAAATATTAGGCAACTGTTAATTGTTTTCCACTATAGTCACAAAGTACATGAGTGTACCCTAAACTATATCCAAGGTTTTAACCATATTCCAATGATAGCTGGAAATAGTGAGACTGATGATTTTATAAGTTTCAAGTTTCGAATGTTAAGTTTTATTGCATAGAATTAAGCTGAAAATAGTTATTATATTCTCAATTGCATTTAATTCTGATCTGAAACCTGAGATTTTACTTTCATGATCTTTAGATATTAAAAGTATACATGATTAAAAAAAACCCACTCAGTTGATTTTTTAATGAATTCTTAGTGCAGTTGACATAGATGGTAACATGAAAGTAACTGAAAACAAATATTCCAGAAATTTCGTTTCTAAGAAATATCTTCATGTGAATCTTCGAAAAGCTCGCTTGGCCTTTGCCAACTTACGTCATCTATGGCGAAGGCGAGATATCCGTCTATCAATTAAGGGACGAGTATACTGCGCGGCAGTTCGTTCCGTTCTACTATACGGCTGCGAAACTTGGCCTTTAAGAGTAGAAGATATTCGTAAGTTACTAGTATTTGACCACAGGTGCCTTAGAAATATTGCTCGCATCTGCTGGGATCACCGGGTAAGTAATAGTGAGGTTAGATGCAGGGTATTAGGGAATGATGGTAAATCAGTTGATGAGGTTATGAACCTTCATCGACTGAGATGGTTGGGCCACGTGCTGCGTATGCCTGAACACAGATTACCACGACGCGCAATGGTAACCGGTGTTAGGGATGACTGGAAGAAAGTTAGGGGCGGCCAAACCAAAACGTGGCATCAGTGCTTGAAGTCACTAACTTCTGGTCTGAGCCATGTTGGTAGATGCAGACTACCTGGTTGGGGTCCGCGTGACTATCGTAACCAATGGTTGGAGACTGTGTGTGACATGGCTCAGAATCGATCACAATGGCGTCGGTGTATACACTCTCTGTCTTCCTTTAAACTAAGAGATTAAAATCACTTCAAATATTTATTTCTAGGAACTGATTCTATCTTCCTGTACTATCTCCTTATACACACTCTTTCTTCTATATATTACCACCACTGAATTAACTACTTCTATGAATCCGGTGTTCATCTTGTTGTGCTAATGCGGTATGGCAACTTGGACCGATGCATATATGTGCCTGGTCCTACGTTGCAGCTGACTGACTGACTCGACTTAAAGGTAACCAAACTTCAGGTATACTTAAAAAGAATGATGTCTAACAACTTCTTTGGGGCAAACCAGTTTGACTTTAGAGTGCGTATCGTTAATACTTTTGCAATTCAACAAAATTATATATGTACAACTTTTAGTAAACTCGCTTCGATTGTATAAATTATCTTGAAAAACATTTCATATAAATAGAAATATATAGCATGTGGAAATGAAATCTTCGAAAGTAAAAATTTCTTTGTTGAAATATTGATTTCGATTTACTGTTTCCTTTTTATATTTGCTAACTTAACCATTACCATTACAAAGTACAATCAGATGAAATTTCAGCTTTTGAATAAACTTTGGTAAAGCTTATTCGAAAAGTAAATGATATACTGTTCATTTACTTGAAGAATGATCAACAAAACAAACAAACGTGTACAGAATCTATGTAACAAAAAGTATCATACACATAATAGCGTGACTGATATATATATATATATATATATATATATATATATATATATATATATATATATATATATATATATAATTATCAAATGATTGAAAATAACTTTAAGACATTTTGAATCAGATTCTATCAGATAAGTAAAAAAGCAAATAATAAACATGATTTTGAGAACAAAGAATATTTTCTTCACGTGAAATGGGGAAGTGACATACATAAGCGAAGAAAATGGTTACCTGTGTGAATTATTTTAATACCACTTGATGTTTATAAATGCATGTTTAATATGAGCTTAAATTTGTTTAGAATGTGGAGTGAAGGATTAACTGTGCTCCTTTATATTTTTTATTTCTTGCACGATTTATATTTGCTCACTGGTGTTTGCAACATTAATTTCCATTTAAGTCGTTCAGGTTTTACTCATTGAAAGGCAGAGTAGAAGGTTCCGTAGAGAAAATGTTTAAAAGAATCTTAAGATAAATTTTCACTAGCTAAAGTTAACATCTGAAAGACTTCAAAAAGACTGCATTTCTGTGAATATCAAGAGTCTAGCTGCAATCAATGTTTTGGACACCTTTTGATATACCACCGACGTAAAAAAAACAGGATGGAGTGCAAGCCAGCTTCTCAGAAGCACAAAAACTATGAAACAGGATAACAATTCACAGACTAATGTCGACTCTGCAGTAAAAAAACTGTCTATTTGACAAGCAGGCTCCTTGAGAGTCTGATACTCATAATGAGTACCTCAGTTTATTCTGCCGATTCAAAATGCTTCCGGTCCAAACAGTTCAGTATGGTGAAACAAACTTACCAGAATTTAAAAATAATTTTTAATCTGGGAACAGATCACAGTTGTTAGGTATTTAAAATTGTCTTTCTCGGAATTCGTCGTAGGATTTATGCGAGTGTTAGAATTTCAAATCGAGTGATAAAATGTTTGCACGGCATTATTATTCGTACTATAAGTAAAGCAAACTTTTAATAGACATAACAAGAGTTTTTTTCGCCAACAACGGACGCTTTTACAGGTTCAACTAAGCTTGCTAACGCTTCTCAAAAATCATTTCCTTAGTACTCCTTTACATATCCTTTATTTGTTTTTATGAATACTGGAATCGATGAAGTGAATATTATATGAAGCGAACCAAATGTTCACATGTTTTATTAACTTATCAGTGCATTTTCATAGTATAATGAGAGAAACTTTTCCGAAAATTGAGCGTTATTACGGATTTTATTGGTTTTAGCGGGCACTATTGGCTGATGGTGCTCGAACAAACATTTCAATTATATTTATGATGCTTTCTCGGCCCTGTGTAGTTACTGGTTATGACATACGCATAATATATATTGCTACACAAGAACCTTACTACGTTAGAAGGACGTCTTGTCCAACTTCTTGAAGTTTAAAATCTTACAATCCTGGTAACAATTTTCTGCACAACTGAACGAAACATATATAATTCAAATATCTTGTGAACTTGTGAACCTCTGGATAATTTTTAAAATCTGAAAGATGAGTCACTTCAATTATTCGGGAAGAAGCTTATATTTACAAAATCTCAGTGGTAGAATTTTGAGTACATTCAAACATTTTACTCGACAATATAGTTCAAACTTCTTCAAACAAATACAATCAAAATTATCGAATATAGTTAGGCACATGATTATCCTATTTATTGTAGAGTAATTAGATCATCCAGTCATGTTAATAATGTTGAAATTAAGATTTTTCTGCATTAGGTATGAGGCTTCTGGTGTATAAAGTAAATCATGTTCAGAAACAGTTTTAAATTTTTCTAAGTGTATCTAAAGAAAGAGAAAGAAATCACTGACTATATATCACCTCTGATCGGTGAATTTTTTCGACAAAAACACTTTTTTTATAGGTGATATGAGTTAAATATGTCGCAGTATACGTAAAGTGAACATAAATAAACAAAAATAAGTTACAATTTTGTGTTATTGTGTTGACCAAGTTAATTGTTCATCATATGTTTAGATAAACCAACTGATTAGAACAGTTGGAAGTAATAGTTGCTGTTCAGATAATAAATGATGGGTTAAATGGAGTAAAATGTAATCAGGGGTTGAGATTTACTTATGAGTTATTAATTATTATGGCACAGCTAATTGCATTCCATCTCCTTATTTATACTGTTTGGATTTGCCCATATATGTAAGGTTTAATCTGGTAGTCACTCATTGAGAGAACAAAAACCTTTCTGAAGGATTCTGGTGACAGTAACATCAATTGTATAGCTCGATTATGTCGAGTGTAATTCTGTTGCTAACTTGTTTTCTAGTTTTTATTAGTCATCTGAGGGTTAAGGAATGTACTTAAAGCAACTTTTATGTTCTCTCACACTCACTTTCAATTGTAGTGATGTCTTACGTACATTTATAGCATTAAAATCGCTGAATTTGATCCAATCTACACAATTTTTTTTGTATTGATTCTTACCAGTTTGTAACTTAGTCTTTTTTGTTCGGAAGAATACTCTTATATTTTGGGCATTTATGATTTTTTCTGGTCCATTCTGAAGTTCATTTACACAATCGTGTTAACCCATTCTTTTAGTTTGTCTTTGTACTTCTCTTTTTGGTCTTTATTAATTATTATTCTTATGAAATCCCTAGGATTATTATTCATCATAGAAGTGGATATCAATTGATGCATTTCAGTTTCCATATCACTTGGTCTAGTAGCGAGCTTTTGAGCTCTGTTTAGTGGCCCTGTGTCTGACTCGAGTTTGAGAATTTGAATGATTTTCATTAAAATCTACATACCACCAACCCTCTTATAAATTATCGACTTAAATCGCGTTAGTGAATAACGGAGCTTAGTAAATCAAATACGAGAACGGAATTCGAATGTGTATTTTTCTTACAATCGTTGATCCGACAGATGATCATAGAAGAGAAGTGAAGAAAGCGACAAGGGGAAGGAGATGAGCAACGAAATAAAGCGCGGTGGAGAAACTGTGCAAACCAACTCGATTTAACCAAGCGTGACTCAATATTTAGTCAGAAAAAAAATAGTTACAGATATGTTATGAGTAGGATAAACAATGTACTCACATACATTCACATAAAAATTGTCAAAAATAATAAGTGAATAAATAACAAGGTAAAAATGTGATATGAATAATGAATAGATTGGTCTGTCTGTAAGCTATAATAACCTATGTGGGCTTGACATGGTACCAAGCACTTATTTTGTTTATCCAAGTCTTGGCAACTTTTACCCTAGTGGAATGGACATGCTCTGGCTCATAATCTTGATATTTCGTCTAAGCACTTCAATTATTATGATTATGGGGATTTTCAGAGACTGCATTATCTTCAAAGTTGAAATCACCGCTGAAAACTCGAAAGCACTAGACTGCCGTTCCTATCTGGTATGGGACTTCT